CAAAAAAAAAAAACCTTGCTACATATACTGTTAGGTGAAGCGAACCCCGCCAATCCATAATTTTTTGGGATAATTTTTATTTATTTAGTTATTTTTAATAAGTATTGGTTTAGACACCGGAACCGTTTTAAAAGTACCGATTTGGCACCGGTATCGAAAAAAAAAACCTAACGATACCCAACCCTATGTTTTACTCACCCTCAAAGCATCCTAGGTGTATGTGACGTTCTTCTTTCAGATGAATCCAATCGGAGTTATATTAAAAATTTCAATACCAACACTCGCTTACCCCCATTGAAAGGCTTGGAGGGGCCAGGACAATTTTTAATATAACTCAGATTGAATTCATCTGAAAGAAGAAAGTCACATACACCTAGGATGCTTTTAGGGTGAGTAAAACACGGGCTAATTTTAATTCTTGGGTTAACTAACCCTTTAAGTGCGCATGATCTCTATCATTAAATGTTCTATCATTTAATGATAGAACTCATTAAATAGTGTGAAAGCATGTGTGAAAGCATATTTGTCATTTTAACTGAACTTACGACTGGTGTTGATGCATAAGATATTGTTGGTCATTCAGGGTTTCTGTTAAAAAAACTGATAATAGTTATTATTATTAAAAGATAATACTACTACTAATTCTACTACTAATAACAATATACAACACTAAGGATTGATGAGCTGCTGGGTTCATGAATATTAATCACGTTGTCAGCGTTCGCTCAAACTGTTTTGCTGAATCAAAACAGAAACAGTAATAGATGAGGGCCAGCCAATGAGATTGCTGTTTGCGCATTAGCCCCGCCCTCTACCAGAGAAACCAGCATATCTTCTGCTTGTTCTTAAAAGCTGAATAATTCTAAATGAACTCCATTATTTTGACAGGAAAATACAACAAAGAATATCGTTTACATGTAGCGCATCGATTCAGTGTGGTATGTAAGACTCTCTCTTTGCTTGTTTGAGAAACAGCGCTATCAGCAAAGCGACGGCGAGTCGTGCTCCTTCACACTAGAGTTTACGGTGCATCAAATACAGGTATGCTGCGCATCCATTGAGATGAATTGGAAAAAGTACAGATCGCTCAGGGGCGCGGGAAGATGTTTTCGGTTGGGGGTGCTGTGTGTGTCCGTGTTGGGTGGTGGGGTGGCTGGTTCACTTACGTCGGTGCTTGTGCTGGGGCTGGTGTTGTTTGGATGCCGATTTTGGAAAGTTTTTGCTGGGATGGGCATTTAAAAAAATCTGAAATTCGCTTTTGTGCCATTATCTCCTTGTATTAAAGTTAATCTTGTTCGCATTCTGTACAGTTCATGTCTGATACCACGCGCCAGCGTCACGTGTTCATGAGGATTAGGCTAATCATCCCATATAGAAAACATCACAAGTAAAATTAATCATGTTTATAAAGATAAACATGGGTTTATTATAGCCCACTTACAATTTACATTTCAGAGATCATTACAAATAAATTATTAAATGCTAAAACTGAATAAATTTAAATGAACAAACTTGGCATTGCATTTGCAACCATGTGAAAACAGGGGGTGCTGCAGCCCCCTCAGCACCTCTACTTCCCGCGTCCCTGAGATCGCTTGATGGAGAGCAACTCTCAAGCGTTCAGTCAGATTGTTCAGCGAGTAAAAATGTATCTGTTCTAAACTTATAGTTAGCCTCTAGCTCACACACGGGCGAGTAAAATCTACGAATTTATTAGCCAATGGCTAACGATAGACATTATTTAGTCACTCAGAGTGAAGATTTAGTCGCATATGCGAGTGATTTACTCGCAATGTAGAGGGTTGCAAGTAAATAAAATAAGGTATCAAAATCTTGAAAAAATAAGCAGTATTCTCTGCTCTCAAATGCTGGGGGCATGTTTGCTGTCGGCGCTGAAACCACACCCACTCAAGGGAAAGCTTCCATCTCTCTCAACTGTCAAATACTGCTACAACCTGAATGAATGCTCCCTCTAGCAGCTTAATTTAAATAAGGAGACTTGAGTGGTTTTGTAAATTATCACAACCAGGTAATATGCATTTACGCGACAAAGGCATAGCTAGCTAGCATACTGTAGGCTGTAGTAACTAACGGTAATCACAGTCGACTAACTCGCGATTGAGCGTGCAAACCACTTATGCTAATGCGCTCTAGTTATTAGGTGTGTTTGACTTGAAGCAGCACTGCGCAGACCGATTGGTGTATGACTTTAAAGTACCTCGAGAGCGATTCGAAAGAATAAGGAGCTGTCTTCTCTTTATAGATCTCACGGTACTTTGATGTCATACAATGATCGGTCTGTGCAGCACTGCTTCAAGTCGAACACACTACTTATATTGTTAGGGGAGGGGCCATGCTCAGTGGCTCCAGTATGACATCGAGACATGATTTCAGGCCCGCCCAAAAAATCCTGAACACAAAAATGGTGAAAAACTTTTTAACGGTCTAATTCTGCAATTCAGTACTACATAGTTCACGGTCTTTTTAACGTGTTTTAGCAATACATTTATAAAATTTATAATGTGTTTAGAAACAATTCTGTGAATTGCCTTTACACAGACTTTAAATGAAAAGAATGTAATGTCAGACAAGTTGCCTCGTGTGCAGCTCTGACATGTAGTGCAAGTGCAGTTCGGAAGACCTGAGTTTGAGTCCCAGCCTTGTGGTCCTTTCCTGTCACATAAGCTGTCCGTGAATTAGGGATATGCCGGTATCAAATTTTCATGTTGCGATTAATTGCTAATGCTTTTATCACAGTATACGGTATTGTCACGATATTGAAATTTAGTTTAAAAAAAAAGTGCTGTCTTAATACAGTATAATAGGTTTAATAACTTTTTTCTTAAAACAAAAATAACTGAACATTTAAATGCAATAAAGCAATACAGAAAAATGTATAAAGTTAAAAGTTTTACACAGAATAAAGTGCAAAAGAACTATAAAGACCAATAGGTATCACTTTACAATAAGACCTCATTAGTTAACCTTAGTTAATGCATTAACATTCACAATGAGCAATAGCTACATTTGCTACAGAAGTTATTAATCTTTGTTAAAAAAAAATACAAGTCTTAGTTCATGTTAGCTCAAAACGGCTCGTTCTAACACGTCCCCACATACGTACGTCACGATCTGGGAAGATTTGCATAGCGCCGCCCAAATGTTCACGCAAAGAAAGAAGGCGTAACTTTTATTCTCGCTGTAGTATTGTTGACGCTGCAGCCATGTCCTGAAGACAAATGCATTCAAAATTCGGAATAATTTGTAATATATAATTATTAATGGTATTTAGAAGTGCCCACGATAACAATATCGTGCATATTCATTACCGTGATATCGGCACATGTCTACTGTGAATGCAGACAAATATCGGTCAACGCAACCCAAAACCCACAAAATAAAACATACCTGAACAAATGTACAGATTGTTCTGTCAGGACCACTATCGTCAAAGATGATTGACAATTAGCATACAGTTTGGATTGGCGGTATGGTTCTGCAGAAATTGTTAAAGTTCAATAATTTTATGTACACATTTTAGAATTAGTCTAATTCAAATGAGAATCAGAAGGCTGAATCTCGACTGACAGAGGAGGAGTTGGGGATGGAGAGGGTAATTAGCTATTGAGCAATGCAAAAACTGCTGATAATACTGATGGACCTTATATATGAATGCTTAGATAGGTGTCGTATTCCCATAGGTAGATGGGGATCAGCTGAGAGTCAGTTGATGCGAGCTTGACTAACGTGACCTGCCAGAACTAACGCTATGCTAGATTTCTAT